TTTTAAGTGCCTATCGATTGATGACAGTTTTAAAAAATAACGAAGAAAAGCGTACGTATATTGATATTTTGAAAATTACAATCAATCATATAAAACATTTAACTTTTTTTATTCTTTCTGTTGCGCTGCATGAAAATAAAAAATATTATTTAATATATCTGTAATTGTTATAACTATTACAAAGTATTATTACATGCGAACAATAAGTGTAATTTTTAACTTTTGATACCTGTGGTGCGATGCTGTGTCAAAAAAATTGAAAATCGCCTGATATGATTTTGAGGGAAAATGATCGCAAATGCCTCCTATTTAACTTCTAGACACTTCTGAATTTCAAAAAATTGCTCCTGATCTTGAAAAAATTATTTCTTACCAGTTTTCGTCACCAATTCGAGGAAAGTCATCCACTTTGTTTCTCAAATTTTTCGCACAATTTCAAAGACTTTGACCAAAGTCCATACATAGAAAGATGGAGAATTTTCTGCGCTTCAAAACGAGCCATTGACAAGCTTCTCAAACATAACCACACGTAGAACAATTGTTAAAATACTAGACAGATGTCATGATTTTCATCCACCCTAACACTTTAAAGGAATATTTCGTTGATGCTTCTACTTAGACTCGGAATTTTTTATACATAGAAAGATAGAGAATTCTTCATGCTTCAAAATGAGCTATAAATAAGTCTTTCAAGAATATGCCCAGATGGGTCAATAGTTGAAATACTTGGCCGGTATAATGATTTTCACCTATCTTAGTGCTTTAAAGAAATACTTCTCGAACTCATCAACTCAGACCCAGAATGTTTTATATATCAAAAGATAGAGAATTTTCTGGACTTCAAAATGAACTACAATGTTTTATTTTAAAAGTTTGCGCTCATAGATTTATTGGCTAAATACTGGATAGATATCTGGATTTTTACCCATAGTGATATATAAAAATAATTAGTTTCTTTCACAAATAGAAATTAGGACTAGTCTGTATTTAGAAAAATGCAGAATTGAAAGGACTACAAAATAAGCTATAGTACATTGTTTCAAACCTTAAGTTTAATAGACTTATTGGCAAAATACTGAACGCATACGGTGGGTTTCATGTGTGGCAGGACATTGAACGAAGTACAATGGTGTAAATATGGGAACATTTGGAATGGCTTCCACAGAAGAAAATGCAGGAAATGGCAAGCTTCAAACTGAAATACATTAGATTCTTGTAAACGTATGTCTTCATACATTTCTACACTAAATACTGTACAACTATGATAATTGTCGCTTAAAGTACGTGACAAAAGTTTAAGCTTTTTCTATTTATGACCTTTTTCATCAATCACGACAGCTAAAACAATACTAAAGAACGCTTTGAGCAGCTGAAACATTTTTCTATCCAATGAGGCGTGTACAAAACGTCTCTCAAAATGTTTAAAAACTAGGATTTGGGAAAAACCCAAAGGCCTACTTTCAAGCATCCTCGCTTCTATTGGTACTTTTGTGTTAATAGTTTAGTTAGAAAGAGTAAATATTTCTGACGAAAATAAGACGTCGCCGAGCTCCCCACAACATTTTTTCATCGAGTTGCATTATATTTATGAAAGGCCGCTCAAGATATTTCTGCTGCTTTTTTGCACATTTTGCTAGTTGTTTGCTATAAAATAAGAACCTAAGTGTAAAAGGGTACTTTTTTTTGTACTTTTTTCATGTTGTTCGCTACCAATGGATCATGGATGACCCATTGCATTGCTCAACATTAGTGCAACTTTGATTCGAATCAAGCTTGAAATTGACATATTGTACTACTAATTGCTTTATTCTACTGGTTAGTTTATCGTCAGCTTCTATAGATCAACGGTGGTAGGGAAAGGGTTAAACAGCACATTTACCTCACGGCAGATTTATGAAGAACCGATGATAACTGATATATTCTGACTTTTCTCACAGTTTCAAATCATCTTTCTCATAAAATCAATAACATATACGTCCAGCTGTGTCAAACGATGTACAGTACAACAGTTTTATGTAAGAAAAGTTTTTACACAAAAATTTTGTCGAATGCCCCAAGCCAGTTTTTCGAATTAACCAGTTGTTGTTTTGATGAACTAAATCGTTTTAGACCAAAACAGAATGTTGTAGAAAGAAAAAGTTGTCATATAACTCAACAATGTACACTGTACTTTTTAGATGACATTTTGAGATCCTTTTCTTCACAGAACGTGGTGTCACAGCTTTCCCATCAAACATTATTGAAACAACAGTGGACTGTGTTCTCTTTTGAAATGGATGGTAATGTAAGGTCAAAATTAACGTATTATGCTGAACATCGATCATCTAGTCAGTGTTGTCGAAACAGGAGCTTCAGTTTGTTACGAATCAACGTAAAAAAGGAGTATTCTCGAGGAGGAGGAGGATACAACAAACACATTTATGCGACATTCGTTCGACTGTCTTCAGTAATAATATCCTTGAATTGTTTTTGACTAATAAACGATTTATACCATCTGGTTAAATTTTCATATTTCTCAGTATTAACCAGAAAATAACTATAGGCTAAATAGAGACACGATACTAATGAAATATCCGCTAAAGTTATCGATTGATCAACTAAATATTGTCGATTTAATAAATAATTATTCAGATAGCTTAATTTTAAATTGAGCTCATTCAGTAGTACTGGAAATTGTTCTTGTTCAATAAAATTCAATTTCATCAATACACACTGTTTTACATACGGTTCTATTTCAGAATCACAATAGTTCAACCACTGATATATTTGTGAAAAACTGTTTCCACCATTACTACGTAATTGTTCAGTCGATAGATAGTATGAGATTGCATTTGCTCCAAACAAACATGTGCCATTCGATAATTGTAAGGTAATTAAATGTTGATCATTAGGAATTTTATTAAGCGTACTGGACAACTGATCGTTCGACGTTATAGGAATAAATTCAATCGATGACAAACATTCACTATACGAACATGTAGCAAGAACTCGTAACGTTTGTGGATTGTTCAATGTACCAAATAATTTCCACTTGGTATTATTTTTCTCTTGTACAATTGTAGAAACACTATTTTTGCCATTATCCAGCTAGAGACACAATAAAAAGTAATAATAAGACGCTAAACAATATGTTTTGAAGCAAGCAAATTTTACAAACGAATCTGAATCGAATTAGAAAATATTTTACTCGTCGAAATGGAGCTTATTAACAAGATTTTAAGAGAGACCAAAGATCAGCCAAGAGTGACAGATTTGAGAAACATCCTTGATGAACTGCCTGCTTCGATTAGTATCGACATGCTCATGAAATAGTGAACATCAATAAAAGAATTAAGACAATGAACAGTGAGATCTCTTTCTTTTGAATTTCAATTTGAAAAGACTTAATGGTTCAAACACATTTCGGGTCATCATAGTTGTTTATCATATTCAATCGATCAAGTGATATAACGTTCACTTCGAATATACAGTAAACAAAGAGTATACTCTAATACGGATATGATAAAGATGTAAATGACTAATAATAGTTAGTAGCAGTTGATTTAATTGATGTGATTGTGAATAACTTTTTTGTTTGGATGAAAATCGCGAGATATTCAAAAATGATATAATGTTTGAAAATTATAGTTTTATAAAAATGATGTGTTCCTGTGAATAAAACTTTTATTTTTGAACTAGATAAAAATAAAACAACCAAAACATAACAGTTCAGAATTAACTAACAAGAGAGAAAAAAAATCTTAAAGAGAATAAGCGTTAACCAAAGCACAACAGTCTAATTTTATGATGATGTTTTATCTACCTTTTCTGTTGTAGTAGTGGTGGTGTTGGTAATAAAATAGAGATCATAATCATTTGTCGATACTATTTGAGTTGAAAGATTATTTATTTCCTTTTCAATTATATTTAAATGATTAATATTAGCTAAACGTTGAATAAGATCGCTATATTTATCAAATATTGAGCGATAACTAGAATTTTTTAATTTAATATAAACTAAAAGACGAAGAAAAAATAATATATAATTTAATTGACTCATAACAAATTACTTACGATTATCTTTTTCTTTTGATTTAATATTTTGTGCAGCACGATAAGATCGAATTTCTTTAATACATTCATAAATACTCGACACATTTTTTTCAATATCATCATCACGATAGGGTAAAAACTAGAAACAAAAGTAAAATTATTTGAGAACATAAGAACTAATAGTACAAGACAAAAAAAAAAGAAATATTACTTGACTTGATTGTGGATACGGTGTAACACATAAACTAGGAGGATTTTGTGTGTTATTCGGTTTTGGTAATCGTTGATATAATTCTTCAGATAAAAATGGCATGATTGGTGCTAATAAACGTAAACCATTGTCTAAACATGTATATAATATATTTTTCACTGTTTCTTTTCGTTCATTATCATTGTTCGTGTCAAAAAAATCTTGTTTTATATATTCAATGTAAATATCACAAAATTCGTATAACCAGAAATTATAAATGGCTGTTGTTACAGTTGGTAATTGATATGCTTCAAAACCATTTTCACATTGTTCAATTGCATGATAGAGACGATTAATTATCCATATATCAACAGGCTTCTCTTTACCATTTAACTAAATCACAAAAAAATAATAAAATAAATCGAATTATTAAATTTAAAATAACAAACAAAAGATTCATTACAAAACATGGATTTTATCAAGTTAATGAAACACTTGTTTCACATTAACGAAGTTGTCAGACCTTTTCTTTTTCAAAGTAACACTTCATCATGACTGCTTAGTGGATATGTGTACAACTAAGTCTAGAATTCAAATCTGATATAGTCAATAGATACAGTTATAATGATATCGAATAATATTCAGATCGGTATTTAATAAACGGCTATAGCAGTAGAAATCTGGTCACTGACATTCTAAAAAGACGTTATAATTTGATAAATATAAACGTGATCTTACATTGAGAAT